GCGTGTTTGAACGAGGCGTTTTAGGAGGGCGTGGACAAGTCTTAACTTTTATAAAGAATATCTCTTTGGGTTTGGGACTTTAGTCTTTGCAACTTTAGGGATCTTATCTATTCACGAACAGCTTGTAACACTCCAAAGAGAAAGGAAAACTTGAAATAGCATTATATGACCCCTTTAATAAATGTATTGTTATTGTTGTATAATTAATAAATTATAATTATTATACACTTATAATACATTAATAAATGTATAATAATAATAATTATTATTATTATTACTACTACTACAAGTTCGATTTTAAATATTTATATATGATTAAATTACAATTATATAAAAAAAAATCTTCATATTACTGAAACCTTATCTTCTCCTCCATAATGGCCAAAAACATTTGTTATTATGCAAATGTGAAACTAATTGAATAATTAATCTAGACTGCATTACATTCACAAACTGCACCACAAAACTTCAGAGCACCAGAAACGTATAACTTTTGCAATGTGTATTTAAACAGTTTGATTTGTCCTATGGACAAGACAAATGGGAAAACACTTCCAGAACCCAGACTGCCGAAAAAATGGGCATCACTGTTGTCTTAATAAAGACTGCTTTGATAAAACCTCTACACCACAGAAGAACTACATGTCTGCATCTAGAGAGTGTCTACTTTACAAAACAACACTTCTGATAGCAAAAAATACTGTTTCAGGGTAAAGATCAGCTAAACTCTAAACAAACAACACCGTAAAACGCCTTTGATTCTATATAACTTAAGATCTACACGTCTAGCACATGTAAACAGACGGGTGTCGCTGTGACTCACAGCTGGGTGTTTGCGTGCTGTACGTCGATGCTTACAGACGCTGGAGCGCCGCATGGCCCTGCGTCTCTGAGGAGCAGAGGTAAAGAGCACTGAGATCATCCCAAAGGCCCTCAACCCCTGATCGTCCCCATCAAACCCTTCACACCATGAGAACTTGACCTTATGACTATATGCTGAGCTGACCTTTGCAGTGACAGACCGCTGTTTCATTTTGTCAAAGGTCATACAGTTTATTCACTGTATAAAGTTTATGCGCTGACAGTTTATGCGCTGATGCAAAATGAAATCGCTGTTGCATAACATACCCTCAGAGAAGCTCTAATGCTTTTCCCCCCGTTTTTACATCAGCATAAACACAGCGTGACTATTGCTGAATTTCTGCTCCATTAGCTTGAGTACAGATCAATGCGTTTTTCACTGCTGCAGTTGCATTAACAGTATGACACTGCTGCATAAATATGTATTATGTAACGTTTATGTTGCAGTATATTTCCATTCATTTTAATGTGAAAGTGTGTATGAAAATGCACAGCTGCAGACATACCTCATTGAGCCGATCCACGCTGGAGGTCCCAGAAAACTCCCCACCCGATTCTTGATAGTCACCTAGAAACATAAAATTAATGTGCTTAATGCAGGGGGGTGGGGGGGATCACATATGCATCATGATAAAAAAAAACATAAAAACTAAAATAATTTATTTTATATTAATAAAAATTAGGGATGCTGAGCCCGATACTGAGCTCCTGTACTCGTACTCGTTAAAATGCCCCGATACCAAACGCCGATACCACACAGCATGTGATAAGTGCCATATTCAGACAAAGAAACACCGACAACAGATAGTAGAATGGAGTTATTAGAGATTAAGGATGTCTACGAAGTATGTGTATGCAATGAATATAATAATGTTAAACATTCCGTATTAACGCTTGTATAGCTGATGTGCGAGAGCAGATGAGCAAAGCACGCTGAGTGGATTGAGCGCACGGCGGCGCAGATGCGCGAGCTTGTCGAGTGAATATATCTTTCTCACAGACATCACTGGAAAGTTTGTAGTTCAGTCGGATGTGTCAAAAACAAGTAAGTAAAACAATGCACAAGTTACTTAACGGTAGGGAGAGAGAGAGAGAGAGAGAGAGAGAGAGAGCGCGCGCACTTCTGTTGTGTGATCTTTGATGTTCACTCACTTAGCACGCATCATTTGAATTAAAACGAAATACACTTTAAGCAATATCGTATCGCATATCGAATTTTTTAACAAGGTATCGCATATCGCATTTTTCTTCAATATCGCACAGCCCTAATTATTATTATTGAAAGAAACCTAGTGTTAGACTTTTATTTGAACATGGGTTTCATAAGTGTAAAACTCTCCGCGGCCTGTGAGTCCGTCTCGCAAACAGCATGGAATTCAGTGTAATTAGTGTTCCATAATCTCACACTGTTTGACACAGACCCTAACCTCCTCAGAGTCAATGGGGCTCCTTTATCGCTAATCCTATTAAAGATGTGAAAATCTCTGCATTTGGAGGATGAATGGAAAAAAAACTCCTTCCAGCGGGCTCGGCTTATGCATTACAAAACCAAAGCATCTGGAAAAAACGCTTTGCATCACCCGCCTCGGGGGCCCAAAATACCCCCCTACAATCTGAGATCGTGTCGGATGGGTGAAGATAATCCCAGCGTACCCTGGGCTTCCTCTGCCTCTGCTGTCTCGATTTTATCCATCAGATCGTTGGAACTCCATTTGGTGATGTCCTTGGCAAAGATCTCCTCGTTGTCAGAGAAGTCCTCTGAGGAACAAGGATTAAGACTTTAGTAAATAACAGATTGCCATGAGCACCTTCTTAAACTCAGGATCAATCCTGCATTACCGTGAGCGTCAAAGAACTCGTCGTCTGTGCTGTCCTCCGAATCTCTGGCGATGCTCTGCATGCGCCATTCAGAAATGCTGTGACGTGAAGGACTTCCTGCACACATTATGAAAAAAATGTCATATGCATCATGATTCTTTTACAAACTAATATGCATTGATGAAAAAGGGGGAAAAAGATTAAAATAAAAGCCATTTGTGATCACAATTTGAAACCATTTTATCACAATTTATTATTAATTAATTATAAAAAATATACATACATATTAATAGATATGTATAATAATATACATATACACTTTTATATGTATAATTTACATACATAATTCATATATTTATAATTTATAACATATACAATTATATAACTCAGTGTAATACTATTACATTAATAAATTGTTAATATTAAAATAAACTATTTAAAAAAGAATTTCAAAATATTATGAAATATTATTACAATTGAAAAATAATTTGATATTTGAAAATGTTAAAATGTAATTTATTCCTGCGATGCAAAGCTGAATTTTCAGCATCATTACTCCAGTCTTCAGTGTCACATGATCCTTCAGAAATCATTCTAATTTGCTGATTTGCTGCTCAAGAAACAATTCTTACTATTATCAATATTTAAAATAGTTGTTCTGATACATATTAATAGATATGTATAATAATATACATATACACTTTTATATGTATAATTTACATACATAATTCATATATTTATAATTTATAACATATACAATTATATAACTCAGTGTAATACTATTACATTAATAAATTGTTAATATTAAAATAAACTATTTAAAAAAGAATTTCAAAATATTATGAAATATTATTACAATTGAAAAATAATTTGATATTTGAAAATGTTAAAATGTAATTTATTCCTGCGATGCAAAGCTGAATTTTCAGCATCATTACTCCAGTCTTCAGTGTCACATGATCCTTCAGAAATCATTCTAATTTGCTTATTTGCTGCTCAAGAAACAATTCTTACTATTATCAATATTTAAAATAGTCGTACTGATTAATATTTTTGCGAAAAACTAAAAAACTAAAAAATAAAAAAAAAAGTTTTTCAAGATTCTTTTAACAGAAGGTTCAAAAGAACAGCATTTATTTGAAATAAAAATATTTTGTAACATGACAAATGTCTTTACTGTCACATTTGACCAATTTAATGCATCTTTATATGTGTGTGTGTGTGTGTGTGTGTGTGTGTCTACTGATCACCATGCATTTTTGAAGTATGGCGGTGTGTACGTACCCCCTCTCTTCGAGGAATGCGAGGACCTGGAAGAGGTGGACCACTGCTTGGTCAGCTCTCCTCGCGCCTGCAGCGTGTCCCCCATGGTCCTCGTCGTGCCCTCGGCTTCGATGGAGCTGATGGCCTCCTTGGCTTCGTGCTCTTTCTCGGGGCTGGTGACGGCGCCGTTGTTCTCGCCGCCCTCCTCGTTGCAGCTGTACTGTGCCATCTTCTGTGCCAGAGCCAGCTGCGTCTCCAGCTCCAGCTGCCGGATATCCTCCATGGTCAGACCGTACCACTCGTCCTGCCAACACCAGGCCTGCCGATGAGCGCGTACCATCACCTTCCTCAGCCCTGATGGGAAGGTATCATGAGATTAAAGCTCACAATAACACAAAGTGTAATTGTTTCGACAGTCACTACATGCAAACTAGTTTAGGGGGGGAAACAAATGTTTGCAGTAGATTTTTACATCTTCTAAAGATAATGTGTGTAGTGTTTGTTTTCAGCACTCCTATGCTACGTTTTTGCAAAGGTGTTCATAATTTTTTATGCATTTATATGTGGTTGCTAGGTTTACGAGTTGAGAAAAATGCTAGAAAAAAAGAGCCTCTGACAACAGATGGTGATAAAATTTAAAATGTTACAAAGTAGCATTTATAGGAGTAACATGTTACTTTTAAAAGACACTTTTCTCAATACTGCTATCAACCAAAGAGACTGTTTGTGTGCTACAAAGCAAGGGTTGATGTGTGGTTTGGCTTATTTCCTTGTGCGATTTCCTCGACTGATTAAGACGTGTCAAAGACGCAGTTAACCAGTCTTTCAGATAACTGAACTTGGTAATGAAGAGACGTGCGAACAAAATTGTTTTCACAGCAGCCAGGAAACAGCGAGAGGAAAATTGATAAAAATAAAAGGAAATCCGCCAAAGATGGGAAAGAAGATTAAGCGGCGCTCGAACAGCACATGGAAAGGAAATTAATTTTGCCCTGTTGTAGTCAGGAGGAGGCGGTTCTCTGAGCATTGACTGTCACTGGAGCCGCACAGCATCAATCTCGTTTTCATTAAGTGCAGGTTAATGATTAAGGGCTTTTTTCCTGACAGAACGCTTGACACCTGCTGCCCACCCACGCACAATGATAACAGGACGTTACCAAGCATAATTTCACGCAAATATGCAGCAGATGGATCAGCTGACTCGTATAGAATTACTGGAGAGACAAATGTCCTCTCAGAGCTAATAACACTGGTGGACATATGGTAGAGGACACCACTGATAATAGCACTGGTGCTAAATTAATAATAAATTCACTGGATTACCGAAAATATGCATTGTTATTTAATTTTTAAATGTTTCGTCTGAACATTTCCGAACACTTACCCACATCGTGAATGAAGCGCTCAATCTTGGACTGCATGCCCCAGTATCGAAACTCCACCTTACACAACTTGTAAGCGCACATGACGGGCATTTTGCCTGGGTTGTTGTTGATTTCCACGATCCAGTTGTCAGACAGGGGGCCCCGCTGGGTTTTATATGACTTGTAGAGTTTGGGGTCTTCCTCAGCCAGGTACTCATGAGGGGCGATGAATTCATTCACAATATCGATGGGATCTGTGAAAGACCATTGTTCCATTGGCAATCACACATTTTTTGGGAGAACAAGGCACGAATGGTGAACAGGTTCATATTTAGTCTTTTATTGCAAACCAAATCAGTTCATCACAGAGACTTTATAAGACCTTCTGAAAGGTAATAACATGGACATTGAGGCTGTAAAACCTGGTTTATCTGTTAGTCTTATGCGTCATAAAGCTTTTCTTTTATTCAAGCAGCTTTGGCATAAGGAATCAAGTTGTTCCATTAAAAAAAAAAATCACTACTTTTATGTCCATTCATGGAACTTTGTTTAGAAAAACTGACATGAAAATAGCATTATTTGTATGTAGTGTGTGTATAGATTTCTTTTTACTCTTCTTTGTTTGCTAACTTGTCTTTTGCGAAAGGCCAAGTCTCATCAACTCTTCAAAGGAACAGTTCATCCAAAAATAAAAATCTGCTGAAAACTCACTCTCAGGCTATGTAAGATGTAGATGAGTTTGTTTCTTCATGGAAACGCATTTGGAGAAATTTAGCATTACGTCACTTGTTCATCACAGTTCGTCAGAATGAGAGTCCAAACAGCTGATAAAAACATCACAATAATCCACAAGTAATCCACACCACTCCAGTCCATTAATTAACGTCTTGTGAACTGAAAAGCTAAATGTTTGTAACCATAAAACCATCACAAAAGTTTTTTTTAACTTTAAACCATCTCTTCTGGCCAAAATACCAGTCCATATTCCATAATAATGCTTCCTCCAGTGAAAAAGGCTGTTGTTCTCTCACATCAAAATCCTGTTTAGATCTGTTTTGGACTGTTTTCGCTTGTAAACGGTGCTTGATCTGTGCAAATCAATCTCCTGATTCAGACGAGACGACTGTTTCACCAGAGAAAGCAATAGTATAGACAGAAGTTAAAAACCCCTTGAAGGTTTTATAAATTTCAATTCACTTCACAAGATGATTATTTGTGGATTAATGTGATGTTTTTATCAGCTGTTTGGACTCTCATTCTGACGGCACCCATTCACTGCAGTGGATCCATTGGTGAACAAGTGATGACTGTTGAAGAAACAAACTCATTCACAGCTTGAATGACCTGAGGGTGAGTACATTTTCAGCAATTTTTCATTATTGGACGAACTATTAATTCAGAGCTGTAATCTTTACTGTGTTGAGAACCGAACTCTGCAAGTCTTCAATTATTCACAGTTGCAAGGTACAGATTGGTTTCTGATCTTGGGTTGTTTAATGTTTGCAGACTGCCATGTCATCAGACGGCCTCTAGGTGTCTCCACAGCACACTCATGAAGGTACATGTTATCAGTAAGGAATGGAGTTATGTAACAGCATTCACAGGGCGCTTCCCCCTGCAGTGCCTGCGTCTGTCTGCGTTCGGCTCAGAAAGCCTCCAGTACCTGTCCCAGAGTGCAACGGGGAACTCGTGCCATGGCACACTACCCAACAGCAGCATGGTACTTTGTCAATGAAGCCTCACGCTGTCTGCATCTTAAAACACTGAGGCATGATTCGAGAGCTCTTCCTGCTGGAATGCTTGAGACTGGTCTCATAAGCTAACAGGGCTCATGTGTTAAAAAGCATGCTAAGGACAGGACCTCTTGGAAATGCAACTGCTCAAGACGCTCAGTTGTGTTTTTGCAGTGCAAAAATGGTCAAAAGCACCAAATATATGCATTAAGCAGAGTAAAAATAAAGAAGGTGCAACTGTACCTATATCCCGTTGCCTCTTTTCGGCCGAGGACATGTTGAAGACGTCATTCTGGCAACCCGTGTCCGGCTTGTAGTACGTCTCGATATCGATGGAGAACTTTTCGACGAAAGGACACGTGTAGCTGCAGGACAGGCGAGGAGAGATTAACTCTGATGTAATTTCATCATATCAGTGTCATGCCTTAACGCAACTGCTCTGCAGTGAGGTTCATATGAGTTTATCCCTTCTTCATACTTACCATGACCTCTTTATTAAGTAACAGATATATGTTTATTGCAGTAGGAGTTGAGCTGAACTCAACGTGCTTTGATGCAACATTCCCTATAAAACCAAAAAGATGCTTTGAGAAAGTAAACATGGGTCTATTTTGATTCCATGTTGACTTCAAGATCAAAACAGGAAGGCCTGACTTGAATGTTAAAAGCTGATGTGGGTATTTACCGGAGTACTATTGAAAGCGAGCCAGAGGGTTATTATTAGGCGATAGCACGCTCACCGTGTGCGGGTGTATGGGTAGGCGTTCCAGGATTCCTCTTCCACACGAAGAGCAGCTTTTGGCAAGATGGAGCGGAACCAGCTAGGGATGTGTTGGCCGATGTGGTAAACCTTATGGGTGTATTGACCAGAGCCGCCTGGGCCATCCCTGTAGGGTCGGTTCTCCAGGATCTCCACCCCACTGCCCTCGCCTTCACTCTCTTCACGACTCTTTTTCTGCACGGAGGGAAAGGTCTGGGATAAGGGTTCACAGACTTCCAAATGGACCGTTATTATTATTAAGTCAAGTCACTTTTTTGTATAAATCTCTTTATACAATGCAGATACTTTCAAATCAGCTTCACATTAATACAAAGGAAAATAACAGTGTTAATGTTGTAGAATTCACCAATTATGAAACCAATTCGATTTCAGCTATAAAAGCAGCTCTGCAAAAGATAATACTTCAGTGACAGTGTTAATGTTGCAAAATTCATCAACTATAAAATGAGTTCAATTCAGCTATAAGCAGCTCTAAAGAAGATAAGTGTTGATGCTGCAAAGTTAGTGTCACTATCCAGCTCGATTCAGTTCATATGTCATTCAAATGTGTTGTTTCAATTCAGATCAATAACTGCGTCAAGTTAATCAATTATGAAACTAATTCAATTCAGCTATAATCAGCTCTACATGAGGCAAGTGTGTCAATATTCAACATAAGTCAGTTAAATGATGATTCTATTCAGTTGAATGAGTGTCGATGTTGAAAAGTTAGTGTCATTACCAAATTTGTTGTTTCAATTCAGTTCAATAATTGTCAACGTTGCAAAGTTCATCAATTACGAAACGAGTTTATCTCAGCCATAAGTAGCTGTACAGAAGACAATAGTGTTGTTATTTAGCTCAATTGTGTTCAATTTTAATTCAATTCAGTTGAATGAGTGTCGATGTCACAAAGTCATTTAAATGTGTCATTTCAATTAAATAACAGTCAATGTTGTAAAATCTATCAATTCTGAAACAAATTCAATTCAGCTATAAACAGCTCTACAGAAGGCAAAAGTGTCATACAACTCAGGTCAGTTCAATGTTCATTCGATTCAGTTGAATAAGTGTCGATGTTGAAAAGTTAGTGTAATCAGTTCAATTACTCAAATTTGTTGTTTCAATTCAGTTCAATAACTGTGTCAATGCGGCAAAGTTGATCAATTCTGAAACAAATTCAAATGAGCTATAAATGGCTCTACAAAAGACAATAGTCACTATTCACCTCAATTCCATTTAAATTTGTTGTTTCAACTCAATTCAATTACAGTTGTCAATGCTGCAAAATCTATCAAATACCAAACAAATTCAGCTATAAGCAGTTCTACAAAAGGCAACAGTGTCATTCTATTCAGTTCAATAACTGTCATTGTTGCAAAGTTCATCAATTCTGAACAAATTCAATTCAACTATAAACAGCACTACAGAAGAGAACAGTATCATTATTCCATTCATGTGCGTTCAATGTTGATTCAATTCAGCTGAATAACTTATATTGCAAAGTTACATTCTAAAAGTTATAATACATTACATTACATTCATTATCCAGCTCAATCCAGTTCAAGATATGTTCTCATCCAATAGTGTCAGTGCAGTTTAATCAAAAATATTACGCTGGAATCTTAAAACCTCCTTAGGAAACTCAAAGTTAATGGAAGGTGACAGTCTATCCCAAAACAGAATTGACTACAACCCAACAGAAGTCAACTACATGCTCCGCGCTATTGGTGCTGGCCAATCAAGGAACACCTTCAGCTTTGTCAGTAAGATAAGCCAAGACTCAGTGTGATTGCCAGCAGACAGATCCGTAAAAATAGGGTACAGTCTTGGCACAGCTTCTGAGCTGTGAATTCTGGGAGAAGGCCCACTGTGCCAGTCAGGGTGACACATGCCATCATATCTGCCTCACTGAAGGTGGTCATATGAAGATAGTTGGAAGCATCCGGTGGCTAATTGCATACCAACTTATGAATCCATCAGGGACAAGTTTGGCCCACTTAGTTCCACTATGGCATTGACACTAGGGATATGTCGGTATCAAATGTTTATGTTGCGATTAATTGCTAATGCTTTTATCACGGTATACGGCCACTATGGAGAAGAAGTTTGTCCTGGGCCCCGAATGTGAAGATAAAATTCAGAACACATTGCAAAACATCAGTTTTCATTTTGTACAGCATTTTTTACATTTCTATTTGAACTAATTGACATTGATATAGGTGTAATTATGTAATTGTTATACGTCCTCTATGTTTAAATAAAAGACGGATGACAGGCCAGTGAAGCTGGCACACTTGCAGGGCAGATGGCCACACAGATCCCATCAGCCGTGACTCTGCATTAGCAAGATGATAGTGGGGTGATTAAAAGCCGACAATGCTTGCTTAAGACCTTCATTAAGGTGAGGTTTGTTACAGAGATGCAGAAGAAAGTTATATCGTATTAATTTCATCCGAGTGCTCTCATGAGATGACCGCATGGGCACTGGATGCCAACAAAGACTAAAGATGGAAAATGTGGCAATGATATTACTGCAGAAGCTGTTAGTATTTCTTTATAACCTAACTGGCAGAACTTCACTGATGTAATATATATTTTTTCAATAATATTTTTTATAATAATGTATATGTACATTTTTATTAATATTAAAGTGATATATTTAACAAGTTTGTCTGGGAATTTGGTTGAAGTTGAACGATAGAACGAACGATAGATAGATAGATAAATAGACAACAATAGAACGATAGAAAGAACGATAGAACTATAAAATGATAGAACAAACGAACGAGCGAATGAACGAACAAACGATAGAAATACAATGATAGAACAATATATAGCTAACTTAATTTCCCAGAATGCATTACTTGTGTTACAAAGTGTCTGTTTATTACAATTTAGTAGGGATGCACCGATACCACTTTTTCCAGTACTCGCCCGATACCGATACTTTCTTCCTGTGTGTCATGGCAATTTCAAATCAAATTCACACTCATGAATTGAAAGGAAGCTAATTCTTCAATTCTGAATTTTGCACGTGTGAGAATGGCATGCTTTTTGTAAAATGCAGTGCCAAACGACCTCGCCCCTGAGACGCCCCAGAAACAATCACTCTTGGCCTCTCAGTTTCAGGGGTTTCTAATGCATCCTCAATCACCGAATACGTGGTGAGTAATACATTTCCATTTTAAAAGCACAGGCCCGTGCCAGCGAGGGAATAGCGGTCATGTCTCGCTCAATGTCAGACCGCTGCTTCTCTCTCTTTCTGCCAGGCTACTGTCAAACTCACAGACTGCACTGTCAGGACTGACGTCAGACCGACACGTTCCACAGAAAGGCGTGTGAAGCAGCAGCCCGTTGGAGGCGATCCGCAGGTCTGGAGCTCACATGTGCTGAGCAGGAAGAAATGGGCCGTTCTCTTGTTAGAGAGGTGAGCTGTCAGCAGCTGGAGGTGGCAGGCGGGACAGACAGACAAATGGCAGGCGGGAGAGGGAACGGGCGGCAGAAGCGCTGGGCTGCGGTATCTGTTTTTGGTCATCCTCCCAGCGTGGAGTCGCCAGCACTTCATTATGGCGCTGACAGATGACATCAGGCCCCGCAACCGCTTCAATCAATCCCTCGCACACACATGCACACACCTCAGAGAAGTGTGGTCTCGATAACATATGGCTGTGCAGTAGAATCATATTGCAATGTTTTCCCTACAATATTGCATTGAT